TGTACCTGAAGGCGGGCCGGGGGGGGGGCTCTGCAACTTACCTGGCTGCTTCTTGCTCCTCGTGGCCCAACTGAGGGCTGCTGGGAGCAGGGGGCGGGGCTTGTTGCATGTGCCTGCCTCCTGGCCTCCTTACTGCTGGAGCTCTGCTCCTGTGCGCTCCCGCAGGAAATGACCCCTGGGCTTTCGTTAAAAGCCTAGGTAAAAAGGTTATGGCCTGCCATCTAAAAGCAGGCACATTTCAAATAGCTTGTCTAGAGGAAATTCAGTATGCATCCTATGTCGCTATATGGATACATTACTAGAAATAGAAGTAGGAACATATGCTCCCTTACTTCACAGAAAGAAGGGGAAGTCACATTGTGTCTGGCTTAGTTTGAAACATAGCTCATTTGGAATACTATGTGTAGTTCTAGTCATCATCTCACAAAAAGGATATTGCAAAGCTGGCGAATGTACAAAAGGGGGCAGCCAAGTTGATTCAAGGGTTGGAGCACCTTTCCTATGAGGAAAGGCTGATGAGTCTGGGACTTTTCAGTTTAGAAAAGAGATGCGTGGGAGGGACATTGTAGGGAATTATAAAACTATGCACAGGTAGAGAGAGTGGACAGAGACAACTTCTTGCTCCCTCTCCCAAAATATTGGAGACATCTAATGAAGTTAGTGGAGAGTATAGTCAGGATGAACAAAAGCGAGTGATTAACATGTGGAATTTGCTGGTAGAGGACATAGTGATAGCCATAGTCACAGATGGCTTTAAAGGGGGATTAGGCACATTCATGGGGGATAGGTCCATCAATGACTACTAACCATCATGACTAATGGGAACCTCCATGATCAGACGCAGTACACTTCTGAATGCCAGTGCTAGGAGACAACATAAATGGAAGGCCCTGGCCTCTATGCACTGTCGTCGGCATGCCAAAGTAACTGGTTAGCCACTGTGTAATAAATGATATTGGACTAGATGGACCACTGGTCTGATACAGCAGGGTTCTTCTTATGTTCTCTTGCATCACATATAGGCAAAATCATTTTGAAGACAGAGGTGGTCACACAAAAGGAAGGAGTGCAAAAGAAAATGAGGAAACAAAGCAGAGGAAACACTGAAAGAAAATAGTTCCCTGGTAGAGCATATACTTTGTATGTATGAAGTTCCAGACTCATTCTTAAGCTTCTCTAAACAAAAACCCAAGTAGCAGCATTGTGAAAGACCTCTTCTTGGGACCCTTGAGAACTGCTGTGAGTGCGAGCAGAGATATTACAGGGTGCTTATGGTTTGCATCATTGCAGCACTCCAGAGAATGCTATTATTTTACTTCCTTCTTAGGCTTAAAATGAGTTAGTATTTAAATTCAATGTGCAGCTTTGAGCACAGTTGCCTGCAGGCATTTACTAAGAGAACAAAACAGCCTTGTTTCAATCTTCTGGGGCAGCTTGGAAGTTGTAGTGCAACAATTGGTTTATAGACACATATGATAATATGCCATTTTTCTAACATTTTATAGGTTGTCATGCCAACAAGGACGTCAAAGAATGTCTTTCTTCTTGATGGAAAGCACATGCATGTTTACTGGATAAAATCTTAGCAGAATGTTTTACTCCTTCACATCTGACCTAACAGTTCAGTCATTTACAATGCAGTTTTCCGGGCAGGGTTCTAGTCTACTATTACAGTCTTAAAGGCCTATGTCATAAAATTCAGTGTAGGTATTCCTAATGTGAATACTGCATGAGCATATTTTCAGCCTGGTCTATACTTGTGGGCCAGTTTATCCTCTGTGTTGCCAGGGCAATTGTCTGTATGCATGCTGGCTGCTGAACACCATAAACTCTGACTAAGAGATGTACACCTCCAAAAACTCAGGGATATCCACAACTGAGTTTTTTGCTACTTATACTGTTCATGCAATTGGATTTAAAAATTCCAACATAAAGTTGTTTGGTTGTATGAACTGGCCCTCAGACACAGTATAGTGAGGAGACACCAAAATGGCAGTGTTGGATGGTAAAAGTAAGGATGGTATGGTTGGATTCAATGAGGAGTAGTGCAGACAGTAGCAGAAAGAGGTGAAATAAGCCCTGGTTGTGGTCTATGTGCAGCTGGCAAGAAGAATGCAATGTTGAACAGAGTGTATAATGAAGGAAGGCCAGAGAGACGACTGCAGAAATCAAGGCAAAAGAAAGAACTGGGTTGGGCAGCAGAAATGAAAAGCAATGGCAAAGAGAGCACTAAAAACACAGCAAATGGAATTAATTTTGAGTTCTCAAAAAAATGCCTCCCCAAACAATTCTTACCTGTTTCTAAAAGAAGCTTCACAATTTGGAAGTTGGAATGAGAAACACTGTAATGAAGTGCTGTATTTCCATTCCCATCTGCTAAGTTTACAATTATATTCTGTAACTGTGGATGAATGGCCTCAACTTCTTGAAGATAGGCTGCAACAGTTTCAGGGCTGGAGGATTTCCTGCTTGAGATTCGGAACCACTCCTGGCAGATGGTGCTTAAAACATGCTTCTACAAAGACCAACAATGAGAATCTTCTAAAGTAGTTTAATAATGTTTTTGTGCTTTTGACTCCCCCCCCCAAAACCACTGTCCTTTCCAACTACCATATAAGCGCTGAGCAAGCTCTCCAATTGTCCAGCCCCTCAGGGCACTTCACTATCCCATGTGTGAACTGCCTCCACTGTGTCTGAGGTGACATGGGGTAACATGATTGTCTGTAGTATTTGATCGTATGTGTGATGCCTATTTCTCAAAATGATAACTCCAACATCAACTTAAGTGATAAACACACATATACACATGCTCAGTATTGTACTGAGACTGTTGCTACAGTAGTAGTCCAGCACAGCATCCTTTCAATAGTTACTGAAAGGGTAGAGAGTTATGAGGAACAAACTCAAAGGAAGCTGATGTGGTTGGTTCACTGAGTAATGCCAAATGAGGACATGGATGTGGTGTCTTTCCTGAAGGGCAGTAGGAGCCAGTGAGAGGCCACTCCCATGGGACTATACAAGCCCATAACTGCCAAACAGAACAATAGTACCTAAAATGGATACAGATGATCATATCGCTAGTTTCAGCTATCCATCCACATAGTAGCTCTGCACACAGACCACCTCTTGGTGCCCTTTAGTAAAGGCACCAGATCCCCTTCTTCTACTGTGGCATTCAGTGGTGGTAGCTGTACTTCTCCCTGCAAGCTACCTCATGAGCTGCCTCTGAACTAACTAGTCTTCCTAAGCATAGGGAATGACTTTGGGCCACACATACTCTCTCAGGTTAATGGAGGAAGTTGTGAGAATAAAATGGAGGAAAGGAGAACAATATACGTCACCCAGAGGTCTAGATAAAAGTGTAATTGATCTTAGATTTTGAAGAAGAATTCTAAAGCATGTCTAAGAGCAATATTAACTGAGATAGGATTAGTTTCTTAAGCTTAAAGAGAGAACCAGTTAACATGCAACTGTAAATAGTACCAATAATTTGTCCTTGGTGGTCCTTATTTCTGACAGGTTTTTGCTCAAGATTTGACATCCTTCCAGAAAATCAGCAGAGGGTTTAAATCTGAAATTGAACAAATCTTTGTAGATTTACTGTAAGAAAGAAATCTAGTACATTTGTGGATTCACTGTAAGAAAGAAATCTAGTACATTTGGATTGGGAAGACCGCTTTACAGTGAAGAACCCAGTGCACCTCTACTGCACCCTTAATTCTCTTGACTCACCTGACTGACAACAGCGAGAAGATCCACATTCAGAAATATTCACATTGCATAACTGCTGGTGGCTACAGACTAATTGATAATATACTTCCGTATAAAGGGCATATTCTAAAAGCACCGGCCACAAAGCAATACAATTTTTTAAAACGCAATTAAGTAGTATGTTTAACTCTGCCTTAGCTTACTGCTGTTCTTTCTGCTATGTATTCATTTTGTTAAGGGTATGGCTCATAGGTCACATCTAGCTCATAAAAAAAGTCAGTCAGAAAAAATGTCACCCACCCCCACAAAAATGACTTCTCCACCAGTGAGTTACAACACGGTGGCAATGCCTTTGCAGCTGGCAAGCCCTTGTTACCCAAAGGCCATACATTACCCCCCCTAAATCATGTTTACTGCCAGTTCTGTCTGGTATAATGTAGCTGTCCAAAAAAGATATCTGGAATGCAGTGTTTGTTTTTTGCAGTGTTACAATCCGAGAGCCTCGCTAAAACACCACAAACAGGTACATATTAAAAAACCCCACCACGAATCTATATTGTTATTGTTTACCTCAATGTATATTAAAACATCTGGCAATAGAAGCCTTTCAGTATAACCTGTAAAAGTAATTGCTACTGACTGACTATGATAGCTGTACATGTTCATACAAAGTCTTGGCTTGCCATCCCAGTTCTTATTACCTCTCTGTCTTGTGCTGTGTGCTTTCTCTTTTAGTGCTCTCTAGTTCTTCTGAATCAGAAACTTCTCTCTTGTGCTGGGAAGATCCAGGTGCTGTTTGTCCACTTCTATTGCCTCCTTCCCCCCATCTCTGCTCTTCACTGCCATACTTCCTCTCAGGTTCACTGTTGGAATTTTCTTCTGATGAGCTTTCATCACAACTTGAATCTTCGCTGGATGTAGTTTCATAACTGAGGGAAGAACTAAGTGTTATTCAGCTTTCCATCTGCTTAACAACTAGAGAGATGTAAGCAAAACTGATGCCCCCAAAACATGAAACACTAGCTGCAGAAGTTTTCCTCTTCTGTTTCCCAGGAGCCAAAGAATTGCTCACAAAAAGCTGATGCTAGGTTCTGGCCTCTTGTAGCACTGGTGGTCTCAATAACACCTGCTATGGATATGATGCTTGCTTTCTAAACCACAAAAGTACTGCAACCTTACTACATTTTCAAAGTAAAATGACAAAATAACTTCTTAAGTAGCAAATATTTATATGGCTGAATCAATTTAAAGACTGTCCTCCCATCCAAGTACTAACCCTGCTTAGCTTCTGAGATCTGACAAGATCAGTCTAGCCTGGGCTTACCCAGGTCAGGGCTGGTATGGTTTTTACCTATTTGTAATCCTTCCCCAAGACAACCCAGAAAGCATGGTCTACAATGCATGGTCAAAGTAAAAAACTTCCATAGACTTTCCCTCTCCCTTGATCTTACCCTCACCTCTTCCGCCTCCCAAGACACCCAATATGCCCCCAGCATTATGTGAACATCTAAAGCTGCCTTATACCATCATTGGCCCATCTAACTCAGAACCCAAGGGGATATGGTGTGTGGTGAACCTTAACAGTGCACTAAGGTTACCTCACACTAAAGCCAACTGTTGTAATAGTTGTTTGTAACTGTGTGCTACTCAAATATCCATTCATGGGTCCCTTGGGTCAAGTTTTTTGGAAACCACAACCTCAAAAATAGAACACTTTGGGAAAGAAGCAGAGAAAAATTCTACACAGATTGAATACAAATAAAACCCCTGTTCTTTCCACAAATATCCATAAGGAAATAATTAACTCACAGATTAGTTAAGATGACTTCTAGTGAGGCTATCTATGCCTGATTCAGAGACCACTGACTCAGTGAGAAGGTTACAGCTTGTGCTGATTTTATGTTCTCCATGCAATGCGATTCAGTATTCATTGATGTCAGTGCATTAGCATCCAACATTTCTTGCAATTACGTGTGCCCCATTGCTTCCCAGAAGGCTTACATCAGGGTCACCAATGTTAGAATGAAATAGGTTAAAATGATGCTATATTTGTTATGAGAATCCTCTCTTATCTTGTTTGGCATACAAGTAGGGATGGGCATGAACTGAGAAATGAACCATGGTTCAAGCACAAACCAGGCCAGTTCATGGTTCATTTTGAACCAGTTTATTTGGTCATGATGTTCCCAAATCAAAAAACAAACCACTTTTTTCCTGTGGAGGTTCATTAGGTTCATTAGAGCAGTTTGTTCTCCAGACAGCCTGGTGCAGATTCAATCAATTCCTAGGCAACACTGGGGGTGGATTTCTGGAGAGCCCTAGAAACACGCATAGCAATTGTCCATAGCTTGATTGGCAGCTCTGGAAGCCAACCATGGAGCAGGTTTTATATATACATAGATATAGATATATAGATAAATATAGATACACACACACACCCTGACTCAGATGCTTTCACTCTGCAGCAGGAAGAGAGAGGAATTTGAACTTTAACAGCAATTCCACCTTGTGTTGCTTTTGTTTAACTTCATTTATTAAAATCTTCGGGATGTTTGTTTGGATTTTACTGGTGAAGGGAAATATGCTGAAAAGGTGTATGTTTGAATACAACCACTTTCTTATCTGGCATGTGTACTTCTGTTGTGATCTGCCTTGAGCCCACTTGGGGGAGGGTGGAATATAAACTGAAATAAATAAATAAATAAAAATAAATGTGAGAGCAAGTTAGGAAGAAATGCTTGCTATGTGGCTGATTTAAGGAGAGGCTAGAGCTCAGCTTTCCTGGGGACACCTGCTTTGGGGGGCTATAACTCAGACATCCCAAATCCAATCTTCACCAAATAGGTTTGCCAAACCCCTCGGTTTCCCAGGGGTCCCCTATTTTGGGGGGGGGTTCTACCCACCGCCGGCGAGATGGCTGGCGGGGGAAGCCCCGCCCCCAACACCCACAGCCACCCATCTCTCTCCCTTTAAGTGTGTGGAGCCCGTGTTTCCTCCCAAGCCGGATCTCCTCAAGCTTGCAGGGAAATGCCAGCTTCATGCTCTTAAAAGGGAAATGCGGCTGCTCTTAAAGGGGAAACCCTGGCTCCTGCATTTAAAAGGGAAACGCTGGCTCCTTTAAGTGCAGGGAACTGCCGTTTCTGGAGATCCGGTGCACGGGCGGGTGGGTGGTGGGTGGCGGACGTCCCCAACATGACATCATCACGTCGGGGATGCCCTGCCCCCTC